TGTAAGCAATTATTATTATTATATGTATCCCTACATTGAGAGTAGAAAAGAGCTTTAATCCATCCACCAATCTCAAATTCCTTGTTTCGCTTATTGGTGACTTACTGTGTGCCAGTGAAAGCTATTAAGTATCAAGCTGGGAACATTCAACTGCCAGGCTAGGGGAAATGTAGATTTCCACCATTTATATTTTGTAGAGAAAGATGTTTCATGACGCACGACAGCAAAGATGAATTAACAGCTCAATAACAGCTTGCCTAACACAGAATAAGGCCAATTCAGAGTGACATGTTGTCAGGACATCTGTGCCGACAAGAAACATTTGTCTGACCCATATTAGTCAGGCACCGTTAATCACAGCTATGCAAATAAAAGCAAATGTTTGCAATGCGTGCCACCTATTAACCCTCAGCAATTAATTAACCAGATGATATTTATACTTCTACCCCAAAAATGCCTGATCTCTGCTGATTATTTGCCAAATCTCGACAAACAGGAGGCGCTCTCCAGACCCATTCAGTTTTTTCCAGATAGTCTGCAGGTGTTTGCAAGTCAAGGTCTAAATGTATTTTATTCAGTTAGGTGAACAGGTGCATAAAGTACACCTCATAAAACAGATGTTCTCTTTATAAAATATTACTCGGAAACATTATTTTTACTTTTCGGTTTTACACGTAAGAATGGAATTGTGACTATTTTGCTTTGCTGTTCTCCAGCAGCTGCGTGTATCCTTTCCCTACAGATTTTTATACGTTCTGTTAATCCTAGTGTATAACTTCTTCAGTGTGGTCCATATGGTTTGACCAATACCATGTTCCAACTCATAAAATCATTTTTAGTAAGCTCAAATTAAAGTTTCAAAGCAAAAAAGGCAGAATGGTACACACATGGCACACTGGCAAATTCAGTGTTAATGCCTCATAGCTTCTTGGATCCTGGGTTCAATTCTGGCTTGGGGCACCTTATGTCTGGATGTTCTCCTTATGGTTGTGTTGCCTTTTGCCAGGTGCTCCAATATCCTTCCCCAGTTGAAAGACAGGATGACTGGCTTTTATAAATTGTTTCTCTATATGTGTGTCGTTTGTCCCTTGTCTGCTAAATTAAGCTAGGTTAGGTTACACGATTGTATAAATATTCTATATGAGGCCTTTTTTGTGTAAAGGAACAAGTAATAGTTTTATTCCATGCTGAAAATAAGAAAAAAGAAAACAACGTTTCAGCCGTGGAGCCTTCTTCAGGTGAATTCAACAGACGAATTCAATGACTGTAATTAAGTGATTAAGAGCTCAGTTGACACAAAACACAGGATCATGGTGTCCTAAACATAAGGGAACAGCAATATTGCAATTCACACGAAACATGGCTGATGTGATGTAAAATATTAAAAAAAACATGTATTGATTAAATTAAATGTACTGGTCAAATTAAATTAAATCCCCCAGATTTCTGTGGAAACAGGGTGTGTGATTAAACTTCACGTTTCGCCACTAATTACCTTCATTGCAACCTCTTCCATAGGCAAAATTGCCATCACAATGGGATATAAATATTATGAAACCCTGAAGAAAACAGTACACTTGTTGTTCAAGCCAATATAGCTGCTTCCAGGGGTCTAACAGGTTGCTCTATTATTTGTGGACAGCTTTACTCAAGGACATGCTACCCTTTGTTAATAAAATAATCAACTCAAATGTTTATTACCTATAAAGACCATGCAATTACTTGTTTGCACTGTCCAGGACAGGACAGCAAAGTACAGTTATGGTAAGTGAAATTAAAACCATAGGAAAGCCAGAACTCATATCAAATTTAAGACAAAACCTGGAAGCAAAGGGGAACATTCATCAGGTTCCTTTTCTATAGTTTAATACTAAACAGAAAGACCATACAGAAGGTTATGACATCTGCAAAAAAAACTAATAGGATCTTACTTACCATCAGTTGGAGAGATCTATAAGAAATAAAGCCTGTGCCATAATACAGGATAATAACTATCCTGGAGACAAACTGTTCTCACCTCTACAGTCTGGCAGCTGGTACCACAGCATCAAAACACAGTCCACCAGGTTCAGCACCAGCTTTAATCCCCCAGAAGAAGGTATCAGGAACAACTAATAGCTGGATCCAAACTGACTGATTACTATTCATTACCACCAGCTGTTGAATGTTGTATTATTTTTGCACTGAATACTGCACATTGTTGTTTGCCGTTGCATATTCTTAATTGTATATTATTTTCTATACTGTATGTTGTATCATACAGTGTATGTTGTGTTTTATATTACTTTTTGGACTACTCACTTATCATTTTTAATTTATTGCGGTCTTCACCCATCTGTACACCAAGAGAACAAAAAGAATAAGAATTTCAGCGTGGTTGTTGCAAAGGGCAAATGCGTTTTGAACTTGAACTTCTCCATTGATCTATTTTTTTTATTTTAAAAGCAGTAGGAAGAGTGGAGGCTTTAGGTTTCAGGAGTTACACATTCACACATGCACAATTGATTCTAACAAAAATAAACATGTTTTTCATTACATTAAAGGAATCTAGACAAGACCGAAGACTGAACACTGTATACTGTACATGGAGTGATGTAAATTGGGGGTCTGAATTTGTAAGGGTCTTGCAATGTTTTTGCTTCACCTTTAGAGCTACAACTTGCCAGGGCTTCAGTAAGCAGTCTGACAAAATCGGTCATGACCCTCTCAGAGATAGATCCTTCAACTGCTTGGGCATGACGCCTGTCACTACACATTACCGGTAAAACGTGAGCTACTGAAAGTTGTAAGTAGTTTTCAAACTGCTTCTTTCTTTTAGCCTGCTCTGTGTGGGAACACTTGGCTTTAAAACAACACAATCAAACATGAATATACCATAGTCACATGGTGAAAAAAATTGACTTTGTTCAAAAAGTAAAAGAAGCGATTTTAGATTAATTTACAAAAGAATGCCATTATTTGGGGAATGCAGTGCACCAGGTTTTATCTCTCAACTTATTAGCTGCTTTCTGTATAGTACAGTATGAAGTAAAAGCAAAGCTAGGGTTGAAATTAAGTCCTTTCTGCTTAAAGATTAGACTTCTAAGCAACAGGAGTTTATGGCAGGAAAGGGAGAACTGATAAGGATTCCAGATGGGAGCTAGGGAAACCCCTGGGGACTTAATCCCTGACCATTTGGCCAAAAAGCTGCAAACTGGCCAAACACGCGACTCCCCCTTACCATAATAATGAGTGACGTCAGAAGCGGAAAGGAAAGGATATATAAACCTAAAGTTTGTACCAGCACTTTGAACAATACTTCAGTTTTGTTGTTTCTTGTGGGAAACAAGACTTCGGCTTTATTGTTCCTTGCATGCAATAAACTTCATTAAGCTGCATGTTTAACTTCATCTTGGGATCCAGAACCTTATTCTTTCTGTTACAACAAGTATATGTGAGTATAT